CTTACATTCAACTTTTCCTGAGTTCTCAATTTTCAGTAGTAATATTGCACATTTTAGGCAATATGTTAGCCTATGATTTTGCCTACACTAGTGCTTACAGTGTACAGAAGGTCCTTTGCTATCTATGCATCTTGTGTAGGTAAATCTTCCAAATGATGGGACTAAACATAAAAGCTCTGAGAAAAAATAATATCATTGTTAGGAAAATACTTTAATTTTTAATGTAAATACTAATTTACCCAGTTCCATTTTGAATAGATTAAGGTGGATTATAGAGAGTCTTACGAAAAGTGCAGATTGAGTTAACCAACAATCTAGTAAACCAAGACAATATAAAGTGAAGTTCAAGGTTCTCAGCTGGATTTGTGTGTGTGTGTGTGTGTGTGTGTGTGTGTGTGTGTTTGTGTGTGTTTGTGTGTGTTTCTGCAGAATTGTTATTTAAAATTGTGGTCATGTACATTGTTTAATAATTGTATGTCACAGTTCTCACTGCTGTGGATGTCTATCATTAAAAGAAGCAGGAATCTGTTCTCAGGTGCATGAAGAATAGAATATCACTTATTTCATTATTCACTGTCTTAGTTACTTTTTCTCTTTGCTGAGACAAAATATCCAATACCCAAGGTTAAGGAATGAAAGGTTTTTATTTAGCTCATGGTTTGTCGAGGTTTCAGTCCATAATCAACTCGCAAAGCAGGATGGCATGGCACCAGGAACAACAGTTCAAAAACAGCAGCAAGAGCATAAAAGGCAACAGCAAGCCTCATTTCCTCCCTTATATTGTAAGTAGGCTACCCCTCCCTAGAGTCTGGGTATAGCATTCAGAATCCTGTGTTCTCCTCTTATATAGGATAAGAATATTTAAAAAAAAATGAGGACCTTGGCCCCCTGCTGAGTCCCTTAGTTAAACATCTAAACATTTTAAGTTGACACAATATATCAATTATTACAGTCAGTGTAATATTTTTGTTGGGATTTTATAGAGTAAGGCTGTCCTGTATCACTGACATTTGCTTAGGGGTCTTCTGTCTATCCCTGTAGAATGATATTTGATAAATATAATTTGAATAGTTTGATAAGTATAATTTGAATAGTTTTGTCTCGTAAGTAGCAGTGCTAAAGTTTTCACTAAAATGTTCCTATATTTTTTTATAGCCTATATTTTTTATAGCCATGTTGAGTCATGGAAGTTTAACATTATTAAAAATGTTGTATTTTGCTTTTTTATGAATTAAATTTTATATTGTCTACTACATATAGAAATGTAAAATAATTATTAGTAGTAAACAACTATGTTTTATTGCTTTTAATAGTCTAGTATACTTAGTGTAAATCTAGTTACTGGATTACTAAAATATTATATACCTGTTTATATGAGTTAACATTTGCCTTTACAGTACATTTAAAAGTAAACTGCATTATAAGAGAATAACTGGGAAAGGTAAAAAGTGGAATTAAATGACTGAAGATAAAAACAAGTGTGATTTAAATGTTACTTGTAAGAAGAAATTTATGTCGAATTGTGGTTTACCATAATTGTTGACATATTCCCCTAAGTACTGTGTCTGTGATTTTTCATGGTATCAATCATTTAAAGCAATTTAGGTAATAACATTCTCACATACATTTCAGCTATTTTATTTACACTATTTGCCTACATCATTGTAATGCAGTACCTTTCTGATTTGGTACAGTAAATGCACGCTGTAATATCTATTATGGCATGGTCAAAGGATAATTTATTGTCAAATAGAAAAATAGGTCAACAATAATGTCACTTGATGATCAAACCCCCCCAAGTTTAATAAAACATCTCACCAGTCTGCATTCCAGAGCAGTGGCTGATATTTTATTAGAACTACCTGGCTATAGCAGTAGTGTAATTACTGAGCTGTCAGAGTGATAAGTGGGATTAATGGCAGCCTGATGCACTTTAGTCTGCAGAGTGCTTAGAGAATTGCAAGATGGTATTATTATCAGAGTCTGCCCATTCTGGCATATTCATGGCACCAAAGAAAAAAAGAATGCTACAATTCAGGTTTGCATTGCCCTGCCTCATTAACATCTGACATTTCCAACAGCTGTTATTTGTGAACTAGCTCAATAATAAAAGGAGAATTATTTGGTAAAGAGGCTTAATAACCACAACTAAAAATCCTTACATTGTCAATGCTGTTAACTGAATCTGTTTATGTTGAATTTAAAATTTTTTTGATAGAACAGAAAAATTCACTGAATATTAATTTGTTTCAATTATACCTGCTGACATTATGCTTATTTTTAATTGTCTTATTATTCAAATTGAGTGTTAGAAAAAAAAAAAGAAAAGCAGAAAACTTGTGACCCTCCCTCTATCTCTGTGTCTGTGGGTCTTTAGTCCTGTATAATGGCAAATGTTTTTAAATGCTTCAAATGACTCACTTAAAAATAAGCAATATTTAAGACTGTACATTATTGGCTAAATTTTGGCTGTGTTATGGTACCATATATTAGAAAATACTTTCAAAACACTATTAATATTTAACGTATCTTTTCACGTGGTGGTAAAATGTGTAAGTATCACCTCATTTCAACATCAAGACAGAATAGACCATGACATATATTCTTTTTACATTGCTTTGCAGTGTATACTTTAGATCATACTTTCAATAAATTATATACTGAATCCAGTACATTATTTCAAGAAAAAAATCCTAAGTATGAGGAAATGCAAATTCAACTATTTTATAGGTGTGAATCTAACAATGTCATTTATGGAAATGATAGGGAGACATTTAGTGACTGTATGTATTGGAGGACAATTGATTATGAAAACCTTCGATACTTATTGTGTAAAATTTAATTTAGAGAGAAGATCAAAAACACATACTAGAAAAAAGAGCTCAGATTTTAAAACAAGATGTCAATTAGATATTGAGAAATTGGTTCAGAACATGAAGAGGACTCTTATAAAAGAATGACATGGAGTTAGGTGTTGTTTCTTTGAAGAAAATGCACCAAGATCATTCATGTAGAAGTGGATAGAACATGAGCCTATTAGGCAACTTTGTCACGAGTAATCCTGGTTTTTTACATATGTGTAAGTTGTTTAACTTCAGAGTAATTTCTGTCTACAGTTATTTTTCATGGGTGAGTTAAATTCCATTAAATGCCCTTGCAGTACTTTTCTTTCCAACAACTTGTAATACTTCTTCTACTCTTGAGACATGTTTTTGAGTGACCCTACTCTAACTTCCATCATCATTTGTTCTCTTAATGTTGTCATATATCAAAGTTCTGTCCAAGTATTACTCTTTTCAACAAGCTTTTCCTGACTCTGTCCCCAACATTATTTTCCTCTGCTGTCTTCCCTTAGCAGGATGCATCTCACCAAAATTTGCATTTATTATATTACATATTTCAACATTTGTTATATATTTTGTTTTCACAAGATGATCTTATTTGTTACTTTTATATTCTCATATCCTAGGATCTGCCATATAATGAAATGTATGAGTCTGTGTTTGGTTACAAAAAACAGTAAAATGCTTGAGGTTAAGTAATGTGTAAAGAAACTGGATTAGCTCACAATTTTGGAGACTGAAAATCTAAGTAGCATGGTGTAGAGAGTCTGACAAAGGTCTTTAGTAGGGGCATCCCAGTGGGAGTGCCTGTGAGAGCAAGAGATTGAATGACAAGGCGAAAGACTTCCTTTGCTCTTCTATAGCTACCTTCTTGCAAGAACCAGCCAAGTTTCTATAAAAACTACTCAGTTCCTTGGGTGAATGAGGGCCTTCCCTGATGTAATTCCTTCCCATTATGACCTGTCTCCTAAAGATTGCGCATCACCTACCAGCATCCTCACACTGAGGCCCAAAATCCCAACACACAAGCCATTTTGCTTGTATAGATACACTCAAACCATAGTGTGAGTGCTCATTAAATGTCTGTTAAGTGAGAGAGTAATTGAACAAATACACATGTAATATACAAATAAAGGATGGTTCTACAGTTAGGTTTCGGTTGTCTCTAAGTAGTAAGTATAGCATTCTTTTTTTAACAGTGTGTTTCTTTACACATGCCAGAGTTACAAGTTATTTTTCTCAAAGTATAGATTGTAATACCAGTTACGCAGATCACCAGGTCTGTTGTGCATTTCGTGACATGCATCATCCATCTTATCACAGGTGGTAGGTGAAGTATTAGCATGTTTCTGGCCAATTCTTCAGAGAGAAGATTTTGTATTAAAATTGGAATATAAGAACTTTATTTGAATGTCAACATTTGTATGATAGTGAAGAAGTAGAATTGAACTATCTCAATAAAGATTTCAGTGGATTTCTACAAACTAAACTACTTCCCCAAGTGTGGGGGAAGGAGTTTGGGTTCATAAACCTGTCATTCACTGAAACTCGGTAAAGACTACCATTAGAAAAAGGGATATGGCCTTATTTGAGTCCATTCTCGTTAGTGGGGATTAAGGCAGCTAGTGGACATACATGATTTGTTTGTGAGGAGGATGAGTCTGGGCTGTACTGTAAAGCAACTGTTACAGATCACAGTGATTTTATGACTGTAGATTTAAAACATAAGAAAAATAGAAGAAAGAAAGAAGAAAGGACATTGAAGTTAGTAAAACAGGCGATTTTCCCTTTGCATTTGTATGATAATTGTATCAATAAAACGTACTAACTTCCATAATGTTCTGTATGCTTTAGCTGTGAGTTTAGTGAAGAATCAAAATTATTATAGTAGAGGACTGAATCTGAGGTATTTCCTCTTGAAAGTGAAGAGTGACTCTGGGTAGATGGTCAGTTATTTTCTATAGTGATTCTATTTCACATATCTCAGGAAGTGTGCAAAAGGAAAATATAGTAATGTATAATTATGTTTTACATTTAAATAGAATAATTTTATTTATACCTCTAGACATTTACTCTGAATAAATATAAGATGAAAATATACATAGAAAATTATGTTGGTTACCTTGCAGTAATATTAATAGCTATTGTATTCTTCAGGTGCCTGAAATGTGCAGATGCCCCCTGCCAGAAGAGCTGTCCAACTAATCTAGATATTAAATCATTCATCACAAGTATTGCAAATAAGGTAAATTTAGATACAGCTGCACAAATGAAAATTGATAACAGTATTTGATCTTGATTTCTGTTACTATTACCTTGGTTAATGTATAAAGCTTGTCATAATAAACTTTACTAAGCTATTAAAATATATCTATAGATATACTTCATTAGGTAAAATAGGTATACTTCATTAAGCCTTTCAACATCGTGATGTATTTTTTACAACTGTATATATATATTGCATTGTTCTTGAAATTAGTTTATGTTGAGATTTGTTATTTTTAATAAAACATTCATGGAATGAATTGACTTAAATTTTCAAAATGCTTACAAATAAGAATTATTAATAATAAAAACATTTCAAGTGACTAAATATTTTGCTTTACAAGTTTGGCTCACTGAGATACATCAAGGGAATGGACTTCTTCCACTGAAATTCAGTTATTTTGGTTAACATTTGAAGTAATTCATAGAATCAGATAGAACTGTAGGTAAAAAAAAAAAAGAAAAAATGAAAAAGATAGCAGGCTTTTCTGTACATTAACAGAATAAAGAGAGCTTTGATCTTTATTTTTTTTTAAATCAATAGAAGGCTAAGCCCACGTTTCATTTATTAAGTGAATAGTTGATTGATTATATAATTAATACTACCTATTGTCTTTGTGAAAGCTGCATTAAAAGCTGTTATATAAGTGCTTTGACCTTTACGAAATAAGCACAAGTGAGAAAATACTCATAAAATGGGAGAGAATATTTCTTTTTTGCTAAGTTCAATGCTAATGTTCTTAAACACTATAAATACCCTTACAGTTTATCTTAAAAAACCAATTATATTTTTATATGTAAAGATTATTTCTTAATATATCAATTATTTAAAACAAATATTTTAGGAAGAAAGTGACAGCCAGATTTGTATAGCTTTAAGATTTCAAAATAATTAAATTATTACTTAAGTATATGTGCATTGCATTTATATACATGATAAAATTTAATAAAATAAGATGTCTGGGTTGAAGTTTTAGATAAACTAGCGAGTAGTTATTATGAATTTAGGAAAAATTACTTTTTTGCTTACACTGTTGAAGAAAATGGTGTATCTGTCTTACAAGATTGTGGTATAAACTGAATAATACTTGTATATGAAAATATCTGATGTAGTACTTAAATATTTTTTGTTGTAGCATATTTATTTTACTATTCACTTTGTATGGTAAATACTATACACGTGATTGCTAGTTTGTTCTTGAGGTTATTTATCGAATGCCTTATATTTTCCCAATACAGTGCTGGAAACTGAGTGAGAAAAGGTCCTTTTTGTGGCCCTTAGTTAGAGTTCATAGTCAAGAGTAAGGATGGATATATTAAATAACTAATTATTCTAATCAAATGTGGTTGCTACTGCAGTGCATTGAATTAAGGAAAAATTTTCAACATTTGGTAGCACAGGAATGTGAGCACGTATAGGCCAGGTTAAAGGAAATGTAATAAATGCAGCATCACCAGAATACAACCCAGATTACATGAAAAAGAAAAAGGCGCTAGAGACAAGACAATTAGCTTTGGATTCACTTGTGAAAATATTTGAGTAGCATGCTCAATATTTGAGATTTATTCATCAATGCTTCATGTTTGTTTTGCAATTTTGTAAGACAAATTTATATAAGGGATTTATTAACTACATAGTAACCTAAATATTCATCACCAAAGAACCTGTATCTTACCAGCAAAATAAATAATGTATGTGAATTTATTTTTAATAATAATAATTTCCTCAGAAAAGAGTGAAGCAAAATCTCCAAATTTGAAATTTAAAATGATTTGGCTATATTCTGTCAATTCTCAAACATGAGAAGATTAGGAGATTTATGATGTATCATTTTGGAGGGTCATACTACTCAATTTTTCTCTACCTGTATCAAAATTTAGTAGTTACACTGTGAATTTAATTAGTGCCTATTCCATTTATTCATGGTCCTCGCAAATTTATAGGAAAAGTGACCAAAAAAAGATGATATTATTTGAATAGTTTATTAAAGGTCTAAGCAAGATCAGAATCTCTATTTTAGGAAAACCTCTTTCCATTTCATTAATTTGTTCATATTCTTTATTACTTAATGAAGCATTGTGCTTAGGTATTTATTTAAACAGATTTCCATATGAATATAAGATATTTGAAGATATTTAATTGAAAATGTTATCTTTTTGTTAGGCATTTAAGAGACTATTGTAGGAAATGTTTTTGTTGAAGAACCACTGTAGCAATCATGAAAGGTCAAAGATTCTTATTCTTTGAGGCTCAGAGCTTTTTAGATATTTACTGGCTGTGTACAACGTAGGCTGTCCCATATTGCTCTGCCACTGGAGCTCAACACAGGAGGGGGTTCTTTCCAGGTTGAGAGGGTAATCGAATTGACTGGCTCAATGAGCCTTGTGTCTCTTTGAGAAAAGGATGTCACTTGTGTTGTATTGTGTGAGGCTTCTGTGATTCAGTGGAGTTTAGGCCAATACTTCCATTCTTTATTTTCTTACAAACTGGATTACAGCTCTGGTTTCGAAAGGTACACTGAATTCTATTTTGTCTCCTCAGTCAGTTTTTCTCTGTTTCATTTGTGCAAGCTGTTGTTTGCAATTGTGTCTCTCAATTGGAAGTACATGTTGCAGATTCATCAAACTGTGAATACCAGGCTATAATTCTTGACAGTTTTCCTTTTGACAAATGCATCTTTATATAAAGGTGCATGGGGTATATGTATATATGTGTATATATATCATATATATGATAAAATGACTAATTTTAAAATTGTTTTTATTTTATGATCTTTTATTTTAAACAATAGTGAAATGTTCTCCTTTAAAAGCTATCACATTGCCTCAAGTGATTTTTCCAATTGCATATATTTGTAAAATGTTGCTTAACTTTTACCTATAGATAAATTTAATAATACATATTAGAGAAAACTCACATTACCTACCTATATGACTCAATGTGGAGAAAAAAATTCTTCTTTCTAGTGGACCTGTACTTAGACTAACTGGATATTAGGGGAATGACCAAATCCAATCAGCAAAATTTATTGACAGATACTATTGACAATAATACAATTATTAAAAACAACTATCTTGATATATGAATAATACAAGGTAGCAAAGCAGAAAAAATGAAGTGTAATCAATAGATTTGGCACATTCTTATGTTACATTTGCCTTTCTATTTCAGTGGCTAAGTGATTTATACTCTTGCCAACAGAATGTTAGTCTTTTCTAGGCTAGTTTTCTAAAATCAAAATTATAATTATATTACTTCCATACTCAAAAAACTATTTGCTTCTAAGTGTCTAGAAATTAATGTCTAAATAGTCTATTATCTAAATAGATTGGGCCATTTTTCATTATTATATTAGAATATTAAAGACCCAAAATTTCTCATAAGGTGGGAATTTATAAAGTCCAGAATTTACCACCTATTAATCTTAGAATATAAATATATTAGATATATAAAAGAAAATATTTGATAACATTTTAGTTTTCTTGTCATCTCTATTACTAGGAAGTATACATTGTGAGCATTTCTATCCATTTCAAGAGTATTGACAGAAATTTACCTACCAACCATAAGAAGATAATCAAAAGAACAAGCTTCAAAAATTTTTTTTCTTTGTTATGCTTCTAGAAGGTATAAAGTCATTACCTTGAGTCAACAGTTCTTTTGGCATAAATCAGTAGCTATAAACTCAACTCATGGATCAGTTCCTTTAAGACAAGCTGAAAGTTTTTGAGAATTATGAATGGTATTCCCGAGGGATTGTTGTTGCTGGCATAGGACAAGGTACTTTAATTCTAATTACTTATTTTCCATTTTGAAGAAAAAGTCTTAGTGTTATTTATACTATTTCTTTTAAAATTTGATGAGTATCATTAATGCTTCATTTAGTGAGAATTGAATTAGCATTGTTCACTTCATATTTTTGCCCAATTTTTGTTTTCATTTTTTAAAATCGTGGAAAATACATGTGGAATTACTTTACAATTGATTGGAATATTTTAAATTTTTATTCACAAAGGCTATGTTATCATCAAACTTTTTTTTGCTTTTCCAACTGTTTTTGATGTTATTTTTCTCCTTTTAAAATATATTTTCACTATACAGTTATTCAATATTATTTTCATTATGAAAAATTATTTTCTTTTTAACTTCATTAGGAGATACTATTTTCAGGTACTTGGAAATTTATCTTCCATGCCTGTAATTAAAATATGATCCCAAAAGGGCCAGGGTTTTAGCTTAGTGGTACAAGCAGCTGCCTGGCAAGTACAAAGTCATAAGTTTGATCCCCTCATACAAAAAAAAAAAAAAAAAAATTATTATTGTATAAAAGAATTTTAAACAATGATTTTATTTTGTATTTCTAAGATTTCTATGCCTATTTAGTGATATATCAGTTTTTAAACTAATTTTTCAAAATATTGTTTCATATAACCTGTACTTCTATCTGTACTCTAGAATTCTCTTGCTGATATATATATATATATATATATCACAAGTCCAGTTAATTCTCATTTATAGGCAGTTTCATTTAAAGGTAACTGTTTTATAGATCTTTTTTATCTTGTGTTTAAGAATTTTATATTAACTTAGATCTAAGTAGATATATTTTTTCCATTTATCCTACTTAGCTTTCATTGGAATTTTAAATGTGTGTTGATGTCTTTCATAATCTGGGGGCTGTCACTGTCTCCTCTCTTAAAGGAAAACTTACTATCAAACAAATGGATTAAACACATCTATAGAGTGTTTCATTCATCAATAGCAGAATATATATTTTTCTCAACTGCACATGGAACTTACCTCAAATTAAATAATATCCACAGTATTGGATGAATCATTAAACTTTCTTAGTTCCTAATGACTCTTAGCTGATCTTTCAAATATTTATTTTTTTTTATTCTGAGGGAATCTATTCAAGATAATATCTGTCATTTCTATTTTGAATTGTCGTCATAAATTCACCAGTATAAAATATAAAT